GTGACTTCTTTTAAAAGTTAGAAACAGCCCTGGCTGGCGTAGCTCAGTGGATTGAGCGCAGGCTGCGAATCAAAGTGTCGCAGGTTTGATTCCCAGTCAGGGCACATGCCTGGGTTGCAGGCCATGACCCCCAGCAACCACACATTGATGTGTGCGTGTGTGTCTCTCCCTCCCTCCCTCCCCTCCTTTTCTAAAAATAAATAAATAAAATCTTTAAAAAAATGTTAGAAACAGACCTTTCAAGCAACAACTCTCAGAATTTAAAATTTAAAATGCAATGCCATTTACATTAGCATCCAAAAATATGAACTACTTAGGTGTAAGTCTAACAAAATACGTACAAGATTTATTTGAGAAAAACTAAAAAACTGATGAAAACAAATCAAAGAACTGGAAAAAGGGAGAGGTATTCCAAGTTCATGGATAGGAAGACTCAGTATTTTCAAGATGCTACTTCTTCCCAACTTGATTTATAGATTCTATGCAATGATCAAATCCCAATAAGTTACTTTGTAGATACCAACGAACTGATTTGAAAGTTTATATGGAGAGGCGAAAGACCCAGAATAGCCAACACAACAATGAAGGAAATAAAGTTGGAAAACTGACACCACCTCACTTCAAGACAATATACAATAGCAGTAATCAAGACAGTGTTAAACTGGGGGGTGGGGGGCGTGGGAATGGGAGGGAGACAGGGAGGGATGGGTGCGTGGGCTGGAATGGGAGTAAGGGACAGAAAACTGTACTTGAACAATGGTTAAAATTAAATTAAAAAAAAAAGAGAGACAGTGTTGTTTGGGCAAAAGAATATGCAAGTAGGTCAGTGGCTACCCTGGCTACTCAGAATAGATTGTCCAGAGAAAGAGCCACATAAATATAGTCAACTGAACTTTGACAAAGGAGCAAAGGCAATACAATGGGAAAAAGATAGTCTTTTCAACAACAGTGGTGGGAGAACTTGACATCCACTTGCAAAAAATGAATCTAAACACAGACCTTACACCCTTCACAAATATTAACTCAAAATGGATCTTAGACCTACATGTAAAACCCAAAATTAACTCCTAGAAGGTGAGGGGGGAGAAAATCTTGATGACCTTGGGTGTGGCTATGACTTTTTAGATACTTTTTTTGTTCTGCAAAAGACAATGCTAAGAGAATGAGAAGACAAGGATAGACTGTGAGAAAACATTTGCAGAAGACACATCTGAGAAAGGACTGTTACCCAAAATATACAAAGGACTTAACAATAAGAAAATAATCCAATAGAAAAACAAGCCAAAGACCTTAGGAGACACCTCACCAAAGAAGGTAACACAGACGGCAAGTAAGCACATGAAAAGATGCTCTGCATCATTGTACCAGAGCAGTGCAAATTAAAACAACAACGATTCTTATTCCCTGTATCTATTCTGCCCATTTTCCCCCTCTCCCTCCCCACTGATAACCCTCCATATGATCTCCATTTCTGTGATACTGTTCCTGTTCTAGTTGTCTGCTTAGAAGCATAATAGGTAGACATAAAATAGACTTGGGGAGGTTAAGAATAGTACAGGAAATGGAGAAGCCAAAGAACTTCTATGTATGACCCATGGGCATGAACTACGTGGGGGTGCTGCTGGGAGGGGGGGGTTGTGCAGGGCAGAGGAGGATAATGGAGAGAAAAAATTGGGACAACTGTAATAGCATAATCAATAAAATACACTTTAAAAAAATTTCTAGAGTGAAAAAACAACGAGATGACACCACACACCTATTATAGTGGCCCAAACCCAGGACGCTGACAACACCAAATACAGGTGAGGGTGCAGAGCAACAGGAACGCTCATTCATTGCTGGTGGGAATGCAGAAGGGCACAGCCACTTTACAACACAATTTTGTCTTACAGAACTACACATACGCTTACCATATGATCCAGCAAGTGTACTTGCCATTTGCTCTAATGAGTTGAAAACTTACATCTACACAGACCTGCACACAGATGCTTATAGTAGCTTTATTCATATTTGCCCAAACTTGAAAACAACTAAGATGTCCTGCAGTGAGTGAATGCATAACTAAACTGGAGTAGCTTCCAGACAATGGAATATTATTCGGTGCTAAAAAGAAAGGAGCTATCAAGCCATGAAATGACACGGAGAAACTTTAAATGCATATTACTAAGTGAAAGAAGTCAATCTGAAAAGGCCAAATGCTGTATGATTCCAACTCTGACATTGTGGAAAAGGCAAAACTATGAAAACAACAAAAAGATCAGTGGTTGTCAAGGGTTGAGTTTGGGGTTGGGATTGGGAGAGAATAAATAGGTAGAGTACAGGGGATTTTTAAGGCAGTGAAAATACTCCATAATGGGTGTCCAACCTTTTGACGTCTCTGGGCCACACTGGAAGAATTGTCTTGGGCCACACAGTAAATACACAAACACTAACGAAAACTGATAAAGAAAAAAAAAAGATTCATGATTTTGTGTTGGGCCACGTTCATAGCCATCCTGGGCCGCACGTGGCCCATGAGCTGCCACTTGGACACCCCTGCAACTATAGTGGTGCATACATGCCATTATACATTTATCAAAACCCATTGACTGTACAGCACCAGGAGTGAACAGTGATGCTGGCTGTGGACTTAGGTTCACATGTGTCTGTGCTGGTTCACTGACTGGAACAGCAACTCTGATGCAGGGTTTTGATGGTGGGGGTTGGGGGTGCATGGGAACTCCATCTTCCACTCAATTTTTCTATAAACCCAAAAGTACTCTAAAAAATGTAAAGTGTTGATAATGAAAGAAAAAGTCTTAAAAAAAATCCTTTCAAATTTTTAAGCAAGGGAATATGTTTATGTCACTTTAAATCTGTTCTCTCCCAACATGATTTTAATATCTCACTGTAGTTACTCACCTGCTTCCAAATCCAAAACTACATTAGAGCCCTAACTGTTTAAGCATTTCCAAGTCAATAATTTACCTTACTGAGAAATGTCTGCAAAAGAATCTTTGGAAACAGCAAAAACATCAGTGGACACTGGTTCCACAGAAGGTGCTGGAAGGAATACAGAAATCCACATGAGGTCTTTGAACTAATTACCGCTTCCCGGGTTCTCCAAGTGCAAACCCATCCTTGGCTGTGGCTCCATGCCAGCTTACAAGTTCTAAGGCACAGGCGGCAAACACAAGTCCCGAGGGCCAAATCCGGCCCTCCGCCTTGTTTTATCTGGCCCGGCCCCTTGTTTCTACCAGGTGGCAGCACCAAGCTCTTGAGTAGCTGTTAAGGAGTAGTTACATTTATACAGTCCTAAAATTACATTCGGCCCTTTTGAAGGCAACCCCAAGGCTGATGTGGCCCCTGGTGAAAATAAGTTTGACACCTCTGCTCTAAGGCTAATGGATACTTGAATGAAGGCTAAGAAGCAATTTTGTTTAATGGAAATAGTCTGCTGTGAGAAATGCGGAGAGAGGGCTCTGAAATCAGTGAAATAATATTTACTATAAAAAGTAATAGAGCCATGGCTAGTGTGGCTCAGTGGATTGAGTGCTGGCCTGCAGGCCAAAGGGTTGCTGGTTTGATTCCCAGTCAGGGCACATGCCTGGGTTGTGGGCTGGGTCCCCACTTGGGGGCATGTGAGAGGAGACCACACATTGATGTTTCTCTCCCTCTCCTTCTCCCTCCCTTCCCCTCTCTAAAAACAAATAAATTCTTTTTTAAAAAAGTAAGTAATAGAAAACCGCAATAGATTTCTTTTTTAAATTTTAGAAAAATATTATAGTAAAAATTTCCCATAAAATAATGTATAGACATTACTGTTAATAGTAAGACTTACCTCAAAGAATAAGTCAACAACCCTGGCTGGTGTGGCTCAGTGGACTGAGAGCCGACCTGTGAACCAAAGTGTTGTTGGTTCAATTCCCAGTCAGGGCACATGCCTGGGTTGTGGGCCAGGTCCCTGGTGGGGGGTGTGCGAGAGGCAACCACCCATTGGTGTTTTTCTCCCTCTCTTTCTCCCTCCTTTCCTCTCTTTCTCCCTCCTTTCCTCTCTCTCTAAAAATAAATAAATAAAAGCTTTTAAAAATTCTTTTAAAAAAGAATAAATCAACAAGAACATTAATTATCTTAAATGCAAATACAAATGAGAGAACATTTTTCAAATGCCACCTTAGTGAATGTTTCTTTTTCTTTACTGTAGTAAAATATACATAAAATTTACCACGTTAACAGTTTTGGGAGACAGGTCAGTGGTACCAAGGGCATTCACACTTTTGTGCAGCCATCATCATTATCCTTTTCCAGAACTTTTTCATCATCTCAAACATAAACTCTGTCCCTGTTAAACATTAACATCCCATTTCTTCCTCCCCCAGGGCCCTGGCAACCTTTGGTGTAATGTCTGCGTCCATGAACTTAACTTCTGTAGGTACCTCATTCAAGTGGAGTCACACGATGCTTGTACTTTTGTGTCTGGCTCGGTTCACTTCGTATCATGTCTTCAAAGTTCATTGATGTTGTAGCAAATATTAGAATTTCATTCCTTTTTAAAGGTAACTGATATTTTATTGTGTATATACATATACTCCCTTTTTACCCACTCATCTGCTGAGGGACACCACAGACTTCACTGATGAGAAACGTGATAAAAACTTAGGTTTGGGGAGGATGACTCTGACAGCTGTTTTTCCAAATAAGATCTCAGGATATATGATCTCTTTTTCTCAAATGTGTGAATTTAATGATTTGAACAGTTTCAGAAAGTTATGAAAACTAAAATGCAACTTTATAGTTAATAAATCATTAGTGCTGAAAGGGGAAAAGTACAATGCAATGGAGATGCTTAGAATATCAAAAGTTGCCGCTTTTGTGAATGAGAAGCTAGAAAACATGAGTCTTTCTTACCCTCAAGCTTCAGCACACTAAAGCCCAAACCAGTCCCAGGGTTTTGTTTATTTCTGAGGGTTTGTTTGTTTTTTTTTTTTTTTGCTTTTTTTTTTTTCAAACCCAAGAACTGGCAGGTCACACTCCTGCACAAGACTTTGCTTCCTAACAAGCACTCGGACATTCCTGACACCGGGAGGCTGAGATGGAGCTGCTGGAAATTATTACGCCAGTTCTTGCTATTTGTGTCATTTGCCTGGTTTTCCTTTTGGGGAGGAAAGAAAGTCACAAAGGAGAAAGCCTCCCCCTGGGCCCAACTCCCCTTCCCATCATTGGAAATCTGAGACACCTAAACTTGAAGAACATCCCTGCGTCTCTCTCCAAGGTGAGGGGGTTTCATTCTGGGGCTGGCCATCTCCACAGGAGGGGGCACTTTCCAGCTCTGCATCTGAGACCACTGCGGGCTGGCTGTCTCGCCTCCATCTTTCTTACTCTGACTCACCACTGAGGCGCGTGAGGGTGTCCATCTCTGTATCGCAAGACAGATGTCCTCTTTCTTTCTGGACTGGATCACTTTCTGATTTCTTTCTAGAGCAGGTAGGGTGAGGTATGTTGACCAGACCTGAGCTATAGGTTGCATTTTAGAGTACGAGAAAATTCTGGAATCAGAATACACTTTAGCTGAAAGGCTTCCAATCCTTTCAGCATAGAACACTTACCAAAAGGCAAGCCCAGCAAGTGTAAAAATGTGTCCAATGTCCTTCTGTATGGTTTATTATTATTACTACTACTTTATATGAGATGATCTATGGGATGCGTTGTGACCCTCACTCCCCTCCCCAACATCTTGCTCCAATATAACCCAGCTCTGCTGTCCTGATGGACATTCATTTCTTTGCAAATATGAGAAATTACCACCAGGAGTTCATTGTCCAATGACATATTCTCCAGAACAACCTAAATGTCCATCAATAGATAAATACAGAAAATGTGGGATATCTATCCCCTGTCTATCTATTTATCTGCCCATTCTCCCTCACACACTGGAATGTTATTTAGCCTTAAAAAAAAAAAAAGAAGTAAATCCTGCTATTTATAACATGGATGAATCTGGAAGACATTATCCTAAGTAATAAAAGTCAGACACAGAAAGACAAATACCGCATGATCTCATGTACATGTGGAATCTAAAATAGTCAAACTTACAGAAGTAGAAAGTAGAATGGTGTTCAAAAGCCATGCCCCAAGTGTTGGCTGTTTTAGTATTCTGTTTTTCCTCTTGGAACACCGCTATTATAAACATACAGTTTTCTTCCTTTTTTATACTTGCTTAGCAAGCTTCCCTCCAAGCCCTCGTCCTGGCTGCCCCCTTCTCATCTTTAGTTGAAACTTAAATCTTATCTCCTCATACATTCCTGACCTCTCTGCTTTATTGTTTTCCCGTCGGCATCCAACACAGCATGCTCTTTATCCCTTTCGTGGAGCTGTGCTAACTTGTACTTCAAATGCAGTTTGTTTGGCTGTTTGCTGCCCGTCACCTTCACTAGGCTCTAAGTTTGGGGGGCGCTTCTGGGCTGTGCAGGTCTGACACAGTACAGGTGCTTAGTAAACGTTCACTTAATGGTTGCCTATTACAAATGAAGGATAGAATAAATCCATGGCTGTACCCCAGGTTAAATTTCTAAAATGGCAAGGATGGGGTAAAGGCTAAGCTACATGTAAATTATTACTCAAGTCCTACCCAAGCCTCCAGTGGAGAGATTTTGCAATTGCTCTGACACAGCTGCTTGAATCTTTTTTCCAGTTAGCCCAAGAGTATGGCCCTGTTTACACGGTGTACATTGGACCCAGGCCCACCGTGGTCTTACATGGATATGAGGCGGTGAAGGAAGCTCTGATTGATCAGGGTGATACATTCCTTGGCAGAGGACCATTTCCAATTATTTCAGATATCCAAAACAGACATGGTATGTTCCAAATCAAAATATGGGTTAACTTAACAAATATAGGACTGGCTTAATAAATGTCTATTGTGCACCCAGCAACCGACCAGATGCTACAATACTGCAATGTAATTTTGATGCTATTACCCAGAGTTAGTGCAGACCCCATAGGTTAAATGCATCACCCCCAACAGCACTGCCCTTACTTCACTCGCCAGCCATATGTCCACGGGTCATCCATACTTCTAACCAACTGGAGAAAAATTCAGGGGGTTCCTGTGACCACCTCAGCTTTAATAATTGGTAGAATTATTCACAAAACTCAGGAAGAAAAGTGCTAACTTATAATTACAGTTTTATTATATAAAAGATGCAAATGAAGAGACACAGAGGGCAAGGTTTGAGGGGTCCCGGATGCAGAGCTTCTGCATCCTCTCCCTGGGAATCAGAATGTGTTACCCTCTCAGCACGTTGATACGTTTATCAACCAGGAAGCTCATCTGAGCTTCGAGTTACTCTATGGACATGATGGATTGAGTCATTGACCATACGAGTGAGCTCCATCTCTAGCTCCCTCTTCTCCCTGAAAGTTGAGAGATCAGTTGATATCCTTTGGCTCAAAGCCCCAACCTTCTAAATCCATATTTGGTCTTTCTGGCATAGCCAGACCTCTCTTTAGACTGTCTAGGGTCCCACCACAAGTCACCTCATTGTCATAAACTCAGGTGAGGTCCCAGAGGCTCACCCCAAATAACAAAGACTCTTGTAATACTTGGGAAACTCCAAGGATTTATAAGTACCCTCCCAGGAACCAAGAACCAGATACATTCTTTTATTATATAACAGATGCTCTGATAGCTCTATTGAGATGAACACCAAAAACAGTCCAGCTCTGGTCGGTGTGACTCAGTTGGTTGGAGCATCATCCATAACTGAAAGGTCGCAGGTTTGATTCCCAGTCAAGGCACTTGCCTAGGTTGCAGGTTTGATCTGTAGTCCCTGGTCCGGGTGCCTATGGGAGGCAACCAGTTGATCCTTCTCTCGCATCAATAGGTCTCTCTCTCCCCCTCCTCCCTCTAAAAACAATGAAAAAAATGTCCTCGTGTGAGGATTGAAAAAATAAACAACAGAGTCTAAGTTCTTTATAAGCTAAATATGCAAATATGATTGCGATAAAAGCAACCTGGGAAACTATTGAAATAAGTTTTCCCCTGGAAGTCTTAGGATTTAGGGAACTGGAGAAGCTATTCCTGGGGTGTCGTTTCACACATGACAAAGACTGCAGCAACAATGAACAAATGACTAGGTGCAGACATTACCGTGTTTTCCATCACAGCCTGGTTGGTGGGGGGAGGGGTGCCAGGGAGGTAGCACTCAGGGAGCCGTAATGGTCCTAGTCAGGCTCTAGGTCTTCACTTGGATTATAGGCTCACAGATATTTCTAACATAATTTATTTATTTTTTAAATACATCTTATTGATTATGCTATTATAATTGTCCCATTTTCTCTTCCCTTTATTCCCCTATGCCCTGCACCCCACCCCCCACCAGCATTCCCCCCCCCCTTAGTTCATGTTCATGGGTCATAATATGAGTTATTTGGCTTCTCCATTTCCTATACTATTCTTACCCTCCCCCTGTCTATTTTGCATCTACCATTTATGCTTCTTATTCCCTATACCTCTTCCCCCATTCTCTCCCTTCCCTCTCATTACTGATAACCCTTTTGTGTTCTCCATTTCTGTGATTCTGTTCCTGTTCTAGTTGTTTGCTTAGTTTTTATTTTTTAGGTTCGGTTGTTGATAGTTGTGTGTTGTCATTTTACTGTAGTTTTGATCATCTTCTTTTTCTTACATAAATCCCTTTAACATTTCATAGAATAAGGGCTTGGTGATAATGAACTCCTTTAATTTGACCTTATCTGGGAAGCACTTTATCTGCCCTTCCATTCTAAATGAAAGCTTTGCTGAATAGAGGAATCTTGGATGGAGGTCCTTGCCTTTCATGACTTCGAACACTTCTTTCCAGCCCCTTCTTGCCTGCAAGGTTTCTTTTGAGAAATCAGCTGACAGTCTTATGGGAACTCCTTTGTAGGCAACTGTCTCCTTTTCTCTTGCTGCTTTTTTTTTTTAAGATTTTTTTCATTTTTTTAATTTTATTTGTTTATTTTTAGAGGGCAAAGGAGGGAGATAGACAGAGAGAGACAGAAACATCAATGTGCGGTTGCTGGGGGTTATGGCCTGCAGCCCAGGCATGTGCCCTGACTGGGAATCGAACCTGGGACACTTTGGTTCCCAGTCCGTGCTCAATCCACTGAGCTACGCCAGCCAGGGCTTCTCTTGCTGCTTTTAAGATTCTCTCCTTAGCTTTAATCTTGGGTGATGTCATTATGACGTGCCTTGGTGTGTACTTCCTTGGGTACACCTTCTTTGGGACTCTCTGAGCTTCCTGGACTTCCTGGAAGTCTATTTCCTTTGCCAGATTGGGGACGTTCTCTTTCATTATTTTTTCAAATAAGTTTTCGATTTCTTGCTCTTCCTCTTCTTCTTCTGGCATCCCTATGATTCAGATGTTGGAACATTTAAAGTTGTCCCAGAGGTTCCTAAGTCTCTCCTCATGTTTTTGAATTCTTGTTTCTTCATTCTGTTTTGGTTGAATGTTTATTTCTTCTGTCTAGTCCAGACTGTTGATTTGAGTCCTGGTTTCCTTCCCTTCACTGTTGGTTCCCTGTACATTTTCCTTTATTTCACTTTTCATAGCCTTCCCTTTTTCCTCTATTTTGCGACCATACTCAACCATTTCTGTGAGCATCCTGACTACCAGTGCTTTGAACTGTGCATCTGACAGGTTGGGTATGTCTTCATCGTTTAGTTGTATTTTTGGAGCTTTGATCTGTTCTTTCATTTGGGCCATTTTTTTTTGTCTTGGCACGCCTGTTATGTAATGAGGGGCAGAGCCTTAGGCGTTTGCCAGGGTGGAACAACCCACATCACTATGTTTTGGAGCTGTATGTGGGGGAGGGGTCTGAGAGGGAACAATGTTGTTTGCTCTGCTCTTGGTTGGCTTTCAGTCACTTACCCTGTTACCCACAAACAAATTGGGCCCTTCTGGTGCTGATTCCCACATGGGTTGATTTGTGTACGTTCTAGGACCCTGTGAGTCTCTCCAACAAACTCTCCTGTGAGGCTGTGAGTTTCTCCTGCTGCCGCCTCAACCCTCACAGGTGTTTTCAGTCAGAGGTTTTGAGACTTTATTTCCCCAAGCTGGAACCCTGGGTTGCATGGTCTGTTTCCCTCCCCAGTTGTTCCTCCCAGTTTATCTGCACACAAATGTAGGACTTTCCAGTCTGCCAGCCACCACCTTGCCCACCCGGTCCTCCAGCTGCCACCTTCCATGTGTCCTCTCCACCTGGCTGCCCATTTCCACCCCTCCTTCTGGTCTGGATGAATGATTCTTCTTTAACTCCTTAATTGTCAGACTTCCATACAGTTTGACTTTTTGGCAGTTCTGGGTTTTTGTTTTTTAATTTGTTGTTGTCCTTCTTTTGGTTGCGCAAGGAGGCAAAGTGTATCTACCTACTCCTCCATCTTGGCTGGAAGTCAATTTATTTTATTATTATGTTTCAGAACTTAGGTATGGGTTACATATATTGCTTTATAGGTACAAAGGATTGTACACACACACACACACAACTACTTCAGAGAGACTGAGAAGCTCCTCCAAGCCACTTAAAATTGTAAAATTGCAAGTCCCAGGGAAATAGAAACTTAATTCTGTTAAAGAACAAAATTCAACTGAGTAAATTTGAATAAATAATTGGCTTTGTGAAGCGACTTATGAATCAGACAGCATCCCCTGTAGCAACTAGAAGAACCTCTGAGGGGTTGTGCAGAATGGAAGGTTTCACAGGCAGAAGGGTATGGTGGGGGAGCTGTTAGCAAAAGGAAATAATTATTTTTAGGCTAGATCCTCCACCTTTAGGGGAAAGGGAATAGCAGGAGTTTTACCATGCAGATTACATTGCTGGTGTAAATCCAGATTAATTGGCTTAAAATCCCACTCTTAGAAGAGGCCAACAGGTTAGTTATTAAGTGTAGGTTTGGTGATGTGGCTTAGCAAAAGTGACTCCATTTTGCCCCGTATTTCTTTTATTAACAGTTCCCCCCTTTTGATCAAACTCTGTCTAACTCAGAGATAAGATCAAATTTTAAAGCATTAGCACCACTCTCTGCTGCTGCTGCGGCTCTGTGGTTCCTGAAGATTTTGATGATCCTGTGTGATATTCACAGGTCATAGCTTTGGGTTCATAATCTTTAGACAGATGATTTTTTAAAAAAAATTTTGTAGAGAGAAGAGAAGGGAGGGACAAGGGAAGGGAAGAGAGGGAGAGAAACATGTCTGATCCCTCTCGCACGCCCCCAACTGGGGACCTGGGCTGCAACCCAGGCGTGTGCCCTGACCAGGAGTCAAACCTGCAACCAAACTGGCAACCAAAATGGCAAACTTTCGCTTCACAGGCCGGCACTCAATCCACCAAGCTGCACCAGCAAAGGCAAATATTTGTTTTCTTTTTAATGTTCCAGTCTTAGGGAGATCATTTGCTTGATGATTAACAGCAGCAAACATGTCATTGACTTTTGAGAGTCTACAACATGCTGATGGAACTGATGGTGCATTAAGAGCAATAGGAACTTCAGAATAAGTAATTGGCTTTGTACAGATGAAGAAATTAAAAGGCATTGATATGGAACATTGAGCTCCTTTGCTTCTTTTTTCTTCTTATTCAGAGGAGGCTAACATTCACTGTACTAAATTCACAGGAGAACAGAATCATAAACCCCATATTGATTCACTTTGCTTATCTTCTCACAGAAAAAAATCACAGCTAGAACTCAGCCACAAGTTAGAGGAATCTGAAGTGTAAAAACAGGCTCTCAGGAAAGGGGTTTGTGGGAACACAGGCCACTTTTGACCATTTTTAACAAAACCAGACAGAGGGCTTCCCACGCTTGGGAATATTTTCCACCCGCCAGTGATTGCCCTCCCTGCCGCATGCCATCACCTCTGCCCCCAGTTGACCAGAGCATGGGTTTTCTTCTCTTTGTGACAAGTATTTCACCCACACTCCAAAATAGGTTGTGCTCTTAAATTGCGATGTGCTGAGTCCCTGCTAAGGGGCACTGGAAACCTCTCGGGGTGGACACGAGAGAGCAGCTGTAGGAAAATCTGACTCCATGATACAAAATACTTTCCTGCTCCTCGTTTCTTTTCCTAGGAATCCTCTTCAGTAATGGAGAGACATGGAAGGAAATGCGGCGCTTCTCCCTCATGACCCTGAGGAACTTGGGGATGGGGAAGAGGAGCATTGAGGAGAGGGTCCAGGAGGAAGCTCAGTGCCTGGTGGAGGAGCTCAGAAGAACAGAGGGTGATGGCCAGTGTTCATCCCTTTGGGGGCAAGGGAACTTCCTACACACACCACCCCCAGTCAGAGCTCCTCCTTTGGGAATCACTCTGGTCCATGACCTGCTCTGTTAACCAGGGAGCTGACTAGGAAAAAAGGGTGGGAAGGAAATGATGCTTTATTTAGAACTCTCAAATCCTTTAGTTTGGGCTCACTTCTCAACTTTAGCACTTGCTAAAGTAAATTTGCCAAATGTAAATTTGGCCACGTTTTTTAAACTTCTCTAAGATGCAATTTCCACAGCTGAAAAATGGGGCTAAAAATCAAACCTCAGAGAGAGAGAGTTAAATAATATAGTTTGCAAGACTGTCACACAGTATCCAGTGTGTAGTAAATGCTCCATAATATCACCCGTTGCTCTTATGACAACTAAGTATTCATATTGATATAATCGATATTACTAGTTGCATAGTGCAAGCTGTCTAGGACCAGTATTATTAGAAGGTGCTTCCATCTTAATTTGGGGAAGGTTAAAGGAAGTACATTCTGTGTATAAATCAGAGCAGGAAGAAGGTGCCGTTAGGGTTGGAAGTTCTAAATGTTAAGAGTTATTCGTTTCTCACCTCAGCTCAGCCCTTTGATCCCTCTTCCATCCTCTCAAGTGCTGCCTGCAACGTGATCTGCTCCATCCTCTTCAAGGAGCGTTTTCAGTACCATGATGAGAAGTTCCTTTTCCTGATGGACTTGCTAAATACAAATTTTAGGGAAATAAACACTCTATGGATCCAGGTAAGGCTCAGGCATCTGCACTTGCTGTGGATGGACTAGACCCACTGGCCGCTTGCAGGCTGGGTGGAGGGCTCCCTCAGGAACAGAGTGTGACATGGACATTCATTGTCACCTTCCCTTCCACGCGTGTCGAGTGAGTGAGTGCAATGACAGTTACCCCAGCATCATTGGAAGGTTGCCCTCTGCTTGTCTCTCGGGGTCTACTCACACAAAAGAAGACAAAACATTCCTGGTTGCCTGTGTTTCTTTTAAGGCCCCCGTGCCCATGTTCCACCATATGACTGCGGGGTTGGCCAAAGCTGGGAGGAGCAAGGAGATGGGCAGGGGCCGCTCACCTCTATGTGACGGTCATCCTCCCTTCTCTTTTGCTTGGAAGTTGGAGGAAGGGATTCTACCAGGCCAGGCCACACACAGAGGTCAGGCACTCTATTCAGAAACTGTGGTTCCTCTTTACAAACTGAATTTCCAGTGTATTCTGCACCCCCTCTCCCATTTTTAGATTTACAATCTGTGGCCAAAATTCATAAAGCATCTCCCTGGAAAGCACAGATCATTTTTCAAAAAGGTTGTAGCCGTTAAACATTTCATTCTGCAAAAAGTGAAGGAGCATCAAGAATCCCTGGATCACAGTAACCCTCAAGACTACATCGATTGTTTCCTCACGAAGATGGAGCAGGTACGGTATGCACCGTCTCTCCCCGGTACCCTACCTCACCCTCGCACAGGAGTACATGAGCCTACAGTCACACCGTGGAGGTACTTCTTGATATTTCGATTTTTAGGGCAATGAGGTAGGTACACTATTATCATTACTAATAGAATTTCAAAGTGGTCCAAAGCTCACTTTTTCCTTTGTATTTCTATTTAGTTCCTACACTTGGACATTAGCCTTTGAAAGTTCTCGACACATATTTAGGCTGAACTCCATGATAGACACACATACATATAAATGCATGTTTCTGAGCATATATCTACCTTGGGATGGATAAAACACACTTGTGTTTTCTCTGCACATCCTTTAGACACACATAGTCAGCCCTTTTTTGCTACAGTGCTTTCCACATAGTCTGTTGTAGACTTCTACATTACAGAAAATGGATTGTGTTTTCTCATAGAAACAATTTCATTATTTGAAATGGGTGGTGGCTAAAGATTCTAAAGCAAAGATGCTATACATTAACCACGAATGGTATTAAAAACATTGAATAGCAACTACACATACAGCCAGCAATCCTCGGACTGTCCCGTAAAATACCGGCGTGGCTGTCCATGAGCACGTCAGGAGAGAAACAGCCAAGGTGGCGACCAGCACTGTATTGTTGGGAAAAAAAAAAAAAAAGACATTTCATGTATAAACACATATAATGACTGAAAATGTTAAAATTATCCTTTGAGTCCTATAAAACTAATAGCCTGGTTTCCTTAGAAAACATGCCCGAGAAAGGTGCGCTGAGGCCGCTGACTCAGAAGCAGCGTGGGAATGTGAGGGGTAGAAAGAAAGCCAGTGGGGCTGGGAGGGAGAGAGCGGGACAGAGCGTTGGGGGAGGGGCTGAAGCGGCGGGAGGTCAGCAGGCAGACCATTCACACAAGGCTGGTATGTTGTCATTTAGTTTACTTTTTATCCTAATGACACAATAAAAAGTGTTTCATTGTGGTACACAACGAAAATCGTGTAAGGAATGATCATATTTGTGATGTGAAGGACATACTGGAGGGGTCAATAGTAGATGTAGAGAAACCAGGAGTCGTCCAAGGGTCAGTTTCCTAGTAGCACAGCTTGAAATAGGGATTTATGTGAAAGTGATTTATTAAAGGAATTCCATTTAGAGAGACTTGTATGTGAATGAGAGAAACAGGAAGGGAATAGAAAAAAGTTAAACATTGACGCAGTTTCATGTTAAGTCTAATCTCTGCCAGATCCTACAGGGGGCGGTAGAGTATAAGTCACAGTGCAGAGTTTGTCAGACCCTGAGGGGAGAGAGCTGGGCTTTTGTACCCTTGCACCATTAGTCACTGGCGTGGCAAAGCCCCAAAGACGTGTTTGGGCTGATTAACTTGGCAATTTGCATTCCAACCAACAGAGCAGGAGGGATGCATTTTCTCCACATCCTAGCTGACACTTATTTGTTGATTTATTGATGGTAGCCATTCTGACAGGTGTGAAGTGGTATCTCATTGTGGTTTTAATGTGCATTTCTTTGATGATTAGTGATGTTGGACATTTTTTCGTATGTCTATTGGCCATCTGTACGTCCTCTGTCGAGAAGTGTCTATTCAGGTCCTTTGCCCATTTTTTAAAATGGATTGTATGTTTTTTTGCTGCTGAATTTTATAAGTTCTTTATACATTTTGGATATTAACCCCAGATCAGAAACATCAGCAAATACATTCTGCCATTCAGTGGGTTGTCTTTTTTATTTTGTTGATGGTTTCCTTTGCTGTGCAAAAACTTTTTATTTCTTTTTATTTAAAAAAAATATTTTATTGATTATGCTATTACAGGTATCCCATTTTCCTCACTTTATTCCCCTCCATCCTGCACACCCCCTCCCAACCACATTCCCCCTCTCCCTTAGTTCATGTCTGTGGGTCATACATATAAGTTCTTTGGCTTCTACATTTCCTGGACTACTCTTAACATCCCCTGTCTATTTTAACCCACCATTTATGCTTCTTATTCCCTGTACTTTTCCCCTATTCCCCCTTCCCCTTCCCCACTGATAACCCTCCATGTGATCTCCATTTCTGTGATTCTGTTCCTGTTCTAGTTGTTTGCTTTGTTCATTTTGGGTTTGTGTGTGTGTGTGTGTGTGTGTGTGTGTGTGTGTGTGTTTAGGCTCGGTTGTTGATAGTTGTGTGTTTGTTGTCATTCTACTGTTCATATTTTTTAAAGATAAGCCTCTTTAATATTTCATAGAATAAGGGCTTGGTGATGTGATGATGAATTCCTTTAACTTGACCTTATCTCGGAAGCACTTTATCTGCCCTTCCATTCTAAATGATAGTTTTGCTGAATAGAGGAATCTTGGATGGAGGTCCTTACCTTTCATGACTTGGAATACTTCTTTCCAGCCTCTTCTTGCCTGTAAGTTCTCTTTTGAGAAATCAGCTAGCAGTCTGATGGGAACTCCTTTGTAGGCAACTGTCTCCTTTTCTCTTGATGCTTTTAAGATTCTCTCCTTAGCTTTAATATTGGGTGATGTAATTATGATGTGCCTTGGTGTGTACTTCCTTGGGTACACCTTCTTTGGGACTCTCTGAGCTTCCTGGACTTCCTGGAAGTCTATTTCCTTTGCCAGATTGGGGACGTTCTCTTTCATTATTTTTTCAAGTAAGTTTTTGATTTCTTGCTCTTCCTCTTCTTCTTCTGGCATCCCTATGATTCAGATGTTGGAACATTTAAAGTTGTCCCAGAGGTTCCTAAGTCTCTCCTCATGTTTTTGAATTCTTGTTTCTTCATTCTGTTTTGGTTGAATGTTTATTTCTTCTGTCTAGTCCAGACTGTTGATTTGAGTCCTGGTTTCCTTCCCTTCACTGTTGGTTCCCTGTACATTTTCCTTTATTTCACTTTTCATAGCCTTCCCTTTTTCCTCTGTTTTGCGACCATACTCAACCATTTCTGTGAGCATCCTGACTACCAGTGCTTTGAACTGTGCATCTGACAGGTTGGGTATGTCTTCATCGTTTAGTTGTATTTTTGGAGCTTTGATCTGTTCTTTCATTTGGGCCATTTTTTTTTGTCTTGGTACCCCTGTTATGTAGTGAGGGGCAGAGCCTTAGGTGTTTGCCAGGGTGGAACAACCCACATCACTATGTTTTGGAGCTGTATGTGGGGGAGGGGTCTGAGAGGGAACAATGTTGCTTGTTCAGCTCTTGGCTGGTTTTCAGTCACTCCCCCCGCTACCCACAAGAAATTGAGCCCTTCTGGTGCTGATTCCCAGGTGGGTTGTTTTGTGTATATTCTAGGACCCTGTGAGTCTCTCCAATGAACTTTCCTGTGAGGCTGGGAGTTTATTCTTCTGCCACCTCAACCCCCAACAGGTGTTTTCAGTCAGAGTTTTTGAGACTTTATTTCCCTGTGCTGGAACCCTGGGTTGTGTGGTCTGTTTCCCTCCCCAGTTGTTCCTCCTGGTTTATCTGAACACCAGTGTGGGACCACCTGGTCTGCCAGCCACAGCCTTGCCACGAGTCCTTTTCACCCGGCTGCCCATCTTTGCTCCTCCTACCGGTCTGGGTGAATGTTTCTTCTTTAACTCCTTGGTTGTTGGACTTACATACAGTTCAATTTTCTGTCAGTTCTGGTTGTATTTTGATTTTTAAATGTGCTGTTGTCCCTCTTCTGGTTGTGTGAGGAGGCACAGTGTATCTGCTTAGGCCTGCATCTTGGCCACTGTCTGCTGTGCAAATCTTTTTAGCTGGATGTAATCCTATGGTTTAGTTTTTCTTGTTTTCCTTGCCTGAGGTGATATATCAGAAAAAATAGTGCTATAAGCAATGTCTGAGATTTTACTGGCTATGTTTTCTTCTAGGAATTTTATGGTTTTTTGTCTAACACTTACGTCATTAATCCATTTTGAATTTATTGTTGTGTGTGGCATTAGAAGGTGGTCTAGTTCCATTTTTCTGCACATATCTGTCCAATTTTCCCAACACCATTTGTTGAATAACCTGTCTTTAGCCCATTGTATGTGCTTGCTTCCTCTGTCAAATATTAATTGACTATAAAGGTGTGGATTTATTTATGGGCTCTCTATTCTGTTCCATTGATCTATGTGTCTGTTTTTATGCCAGTAACATGCTGTTTTGATTACTACGGCCTTGTAGTATAATTTAATATTAGGTGGCGTGATTTCTCCAACTTTGTTCTTCTTTCTCAAGATCACTGTTGCTATTTGGCAGCCTTTTATGGTTTGAGGGAGTTATTTTAAATGCTTAACATTCTTAATTCCCAATAAAGACAGTAAGGACTATAGGTAGGAAGTGATAATATGCCTAAAAATTTGGATTTCCACTTGCAGAAATAATTTTATTTTAAAATAAATAGGAGAGACATAATATAAAGAAATTGAGTAAAGAAAAACTTGATTTGGAGCTTTAAAAATGAAGCAATTTTTAAAAATGAATATCCCAATACTTTCCCCAAATTTAAAAACCACTAGGCAAGGGACATGTGTAAAGGACCCATGAACATGGACAAAAGGGTGAGGACTGAGTGCAGGAGCAGGGTAGGGGGTAGGGGTAGAGGTGGGCCAGGCAGGAGAGAGTAACCAGGGGAAAATTGGGACTAGTGTAGTAGAACAATAAAATAATAACAAAATAAAATAAAAAATTTAAAAATATAAAATAAAAATAAACCCAATAGTATTAAAAGCCCATAAAATAATTGGCAATGTACATAATTTAAATATAATAAAATCATTTAATCTATAAAATATAATTTTTTATTAATTAGTATAATCACATTAAATATTAATTATTTAAACAAGTGCTTAGTGCCCATTTTTATATCAGGTTCGGGGATACCTCAGCAAAGAAGACATCCCTGGCTGGTGAGGCTCAGTGGACTGAGTGCCAGCTTGTGAACCGAAGGGTCATCGGTTCGATTCCCAGTCAGGGCATATACCTGGGTTGCAGGCCAGGCCCCTGGCTGGGGGCGTGCAAAAGGCAACCAATCGATGATGTTTGTCTCCCTCTCTTTCTCCCTTCCTTCCCTTCTCTCTAAAAATAAATTTAAAAAACATTTTTTTAAAAAGAAGACAATCCCCATTATTCTTGGTGGAAGAATTTTAAAATAAAAAGCTCCCTCACTATTTTCAAGTTCTGGATCAATTTATTTTCTAAACACTTTGTAGACCTCATGTAAAAACTTACAAGTAAAAATGTCCTACAAGTACAGACTTCATATTAGAAACACCATTATAATGGTGAATGTCATGTGTGAGAGGGTGGGGCGAGAGCGTGTAAGCAGCTTATGTGAAGGAAACAGGCCAGTTATGAACCAGTGGTCTCTCTCCATGCTTGCAGAGAGTTCATCATCTGGCCTTTTTCCTTAAATGTAGTATAAGGAGATACTATTCACTGAGTATGTGTATATATACATTGTTCCATGAGCTTCCACCTGTTAACCGTTTCATCCTTGTAATAAGCCTATGGGGTGTGTTCTATTTCTTACCCCCATTTCACAGAAGATGAAACTGAGTTGAGACTAAAGTAACTAACCTGGGATTGAACCTAGGAGTATCAATTTCATGACTGACTTTTCTTTTTCAATCCACTACACTACAGTGCCCCAGATGAAGCCTGTTACTAGTCAAGGGGTGTGACTGTGGAGCATTGATAAGCTGTTGCCTTGTTTTTAACTCATGTAGCTTTTAACTCTACCATCTACAGGAGAAGCACAACCCAATGTCTGACTTTCACTTGGAGAATCTGGCTTTCTGCGGATCAAACTTGTTTGTGGGAGGAACAGAGACAATTTCGTCCACCCTGAGATACAGTATCCTGCTCCTAATGAAACACCCAGAGGTGCAAGGTACCACGATGTTCTAGTGACCAAGCAAAATGAGATCGGGCACCAGGCGAGGGTGGAAAGACACTGCATTCATTGGCTGCTTCCTTTCTCTGCACTGCCTTTTCCAGCATCATGCAAAGAGCCATCTGTGTGGTTTTGCTTTTGCAGATCAGAATTCTATCGATTCATGCTGATAAGGAAGAAACACCTTTAGGAACACGAAGGCTGTTGTTTAAGTTGAAAACAGAGGAGCTTCTGAATCCCAACTCTTCTACATGAGGTGTAATGCCAAAGAGTGAGCCCTGTTTAGACAAGGGGCCCAAGGGTCACCACGCTGCCTTCTTGTCCCAGGCCTGTCCGTTCCTGGCTGTGTGACCTCAGACAGATTATTTCATCTTTCAGGCCTCTGTTTTTCCATCCTAAAAATGGGCCACATTCTCCAAAGGGGATTTTTGGGCGTGATATAATTCAACATTCAAAAATGAAATTGTAGTAGCTCAATTTTCTCAAGCACATTCTCAGAGTACAGGTCTTACAAAGCCAATGTTTATTCTGCTGAACATAATGGCTTTACCATTCCCACAAAACGTCTAGGAACCTGGGTGAGGGTGACAAAGGAAGTGCTCCCACTAGAGAGGGTATTAAACATTTTCCCTCTACAGCTGCCTCACCAGGAATCATGGGATGAACCATAATCCCCACCGCAAAGGTCCAGCCTCACCTGTGCTTGAGAACAAACCAATGAAGCCAGGAGGCTGAGAACATGGTTAACCCAGCCTTTCTGTTTCCTTCAGCAAAGTCTCTGATATTTACAACAAAATTAAAAAAAAAAATCCATTAAGTGCAGAGGAGTGGGCTGTTTAGCAGCATCTCTTTGACCTTGGCAGCCTTTTATAGGCCGCTTTCTGTTGCACATTGTAAGCATTTCAAGTAATTTCCAGGTGTCCAGGGAACACGTCTCTGGAGTAACATTCATGATTCTTGCCTCTGCAGCCAAAGTTCATGAAGAGATCGACCGTGTGATTGGACGCAACCAGAGCCCCTCCATGACGGACAAGACGAAGATGCCTTACACAGAGGCTGTGTTGCATGAGATACAAAGATACAGCAAACTTCTTCCTTGTAGTATTCCCCATGCTGTGATCCGGGACACGAAATTCAGACAATACGTCATCCCCAAGGTCAGACGTGTTTGGGAAAACCGACTGGGATGGAAGGGGCAGCGCAATCCCTCCGCGGGTCTCTGTGGGCCTCCCAGTTCTGCTGCAGGAAGAGATGCAGTCGAACTTCAGGGATGGAAAGGCCAGAGTCAGGCGGTCTGGGAGGGTCGTGCTGGCACCTCTGTAGCCTTGTCTCTGCCTTCCTAGAGTTGGGGAGGCTGACCCGGGGCTTCCAAGGCCCCCTGCTGCTCTCACATGGAATGTATTCAGAGAGCAGTGATTTCCAATAATGAGGACCTTATGGAAACTGGAGTCTTGTTTTTCATGATCGATTATAAAAGGGGGAAATGGAAAATGTGTCTGTTCCTCTTAGGTAATCAAGCCAAATGTCAGCCTGGTTTAACTCAAATTCTCTCCTTCCAGGACTTTACCTACTAGGACATTTGAGACATTGGTGCCCCTAACAGTTAACATTTGTAGAACACATAGCATTTACCAAAACCTTTCCATGCACACTGGGGAGTCAGTCAGTCTTCTGTTGTGATTAGGGGCTTGGGTTTTACATTTAAGTAGTTCCAGAGGATAGAAGAGGAAGAAAAGGTGTCAAACCTCATCAAAATCTTTCAAAACAGAATCAAAATACTACAAAACAACACCAGTCTTACTTAAAAATAACAACACAAGTCTATTAGCACATGAGGTCTAGTATCACATGAAAAACACGATGCTACCAACAACGGGAAGTTAATTAAGAACACAGGAAAACTAACACCAAGGAATCTAGTTTAGTAACATGCACCATGTAATTAGAATTTAGGAGAAAATCACACAATAGTCTCATTTGTACAGAAGATGCATTTGATCATATTTAATGTCCATTTTTAATTAAAAATTTATTTTCTAATTACAGTTGACATTCAATATTATATTAGTTTCAGGTGTACAATATGGTGGTTAAACATTTCTGTAACTTACACAGCGATTTCCCCAATAAATCTAATGCCCACCTGGCACCACACATAGTTATTACTGCATTATTGACTATCTTCCCCATGCTGCACCTTGTACATCACTGTGTCTATTTTGTGACTGCACTCTCTATATTTAGTTTTTAATCTTTTTAACTTTAATAAAATAGAAATAGATAAATAACTCTTTAGCCAGAAAAAAACAAACTTCCCAAATGATGCTTATTGATGAATGACTAAAAGCTTTGCTAATATCAGGAATAAAGCAAGGCTATCTATCACTGCTAATATTATTCAAGTAGACTTAGAAAAAAGTAATGAGCAAAACATTTAAGAGAAAGAATCAACTTTTTAAATGATATAATTGTATCTGGAAAAATACAAGAAAATTAGCTGATATACGGTTGCAAAGATATAATTATTCAGTGGTTAGGTACAAATTTATTATTTAAAAAATCAATTGCCACTTATATAAAATAAAAACCATTTTAAAAATATAATGATGATAAGTTTTCATTGATTGATTAAAAAACAAAGATAAAATACTTAGGAATAAACTGAACAAAAAATTCAAGATCTATGGAAAGAAAGTTTTTAAATATTAATGAGACATAAAAAGTGTTTGAATAAATTACAAGACTTATTGTATGTTTGGGTAGAAAAATAGCAGTTATTCCAAAATCAATCTATACATTTATGAGATCTCAATAAAAATATCAACCAGAATTTTGGGGGAACTAAATAAACTAGCAGATCCTGAATTTGATATGGAAAAATTAAAAAAAAAATAGTCAGGGATAGTTTCAACAAATGTTAAAATATAATATAAAGTCACAGTTATTAAAGCAGTGTAATACAACTTCTTAAAAAGACAGATCAAATGAATAAAGTTGAGAAATAAACTTAATTTTACATGAAAACTTAGTATGTGGTAACGATGCCTTCCCTCTAGAGGAAAAATATGGATTATTCAATAGAGATTAGAAAATTTCTAGGGAGTTGAAAAATAATAACGGGTCCCTACTTCACACTTTCCATGAAAATTTATTCTCAGTGCCTCAAATAGATACACATAGAATATTAAACTGTAGAAATACTAGGAATAAAAGCAGTAACTTTTTGAGAATTTCAGAGTTTCAAAACACTTCTAACATCGACTCCCCCCAAAAAGGAATAAGAGGGCCATATATTTTAAAATTGATAAATTTAGCTATATGTAAATAGGAAAAATCTGCCTGGAAAATGAAACCAAATCAAAGATAAATGACAAACTGAGAGGAAATTTTGCACAGTTCATAAGAGCAAAGGGCTAATTACTGAAAAATAAAACAAACTCCTACAGTCAGTGTGAACAAACCCCAAAATGAACAGATGCAGTTAAAAAAAAAGCAAAATAAAAATTTGAGTAAAAATAATTGCAAATGTTTTTTAAATGTGTAAAAATATACTCACACAATGGAATATGATAAAAGTAAATATTATAAAGTTCTTTCACCACAATATGTTGGCAGGATATAAAAAACATAGTTTTGCTAAATTGATGTAACTTCTATGAAAGGCAATGTGATGATTTCTATCAAAATTCGAAGCACATATGCAATTTAAAGAGCAGTTCCATTACTAGGAATTTATCCTTTGTGTGTATTTTCTTCAAAATAAGAATATTTATTGAAGCAATATTTGTGACATTTGAAGAGTAGAAAATTCCCAAATGTTCATTTACAAAGGACTTTAAAAGTTCCTTTATTTCCATAAAGTGGCATACTAAGCAAGCTACAGCACACTACTTGTGTGAACATAGTGGAGGATGTGTATGCATGTCCTCTTTTTTAATCTGTAAGATATCTTCCAAAGGATATATCTTAAAATGGTAACAGTAATTACATTAAAAAAAAAAACAAAACTGGGGACTTGAGTATAAGAAGAAACTTATTTTCACTCATACCCCTTTGTACATTTTTTGATATTTTAATCCATGTGCATGTATTGCTTACTCCAATAATTCTAAAAGTAGTTTAAGAACATACAAAATAAAGTAAAAATGGAGAAAGGAAGCTTTTACTTAAATAAGGGTGTTTTATGATCACATAGAACTTGGTTCAAATTTGTAAACATGCCACTTGCTACAAGTACAACCTCAAGTCAGTTGTTTTTCCTCTCTGAATAGCAATTTCCTCACTGATACAGAGGACAGAAAGAGAGCCGACTGGATACAGCTTAAGTAAGAATTAAATACAATTCATGAGCAGCTAACTAAGCACAGTGTTAGGTAAACATAAAGCATCTAATGTAAATGGTAGTTATCAATATTACTTTGACATTTAAGCCTCACAAAAATCTTTTATAAATTAGGAAGAAAGCAAGCCTGTGTTTTTATTAGTCCCACCCTATTTTACAAGTGAGGGAAGTGAAGTCTCGTTCAATAGATTCAAGTGTTCACACCTCACTTTCTTCCAGTCACACCTGAATTTAGGAAAGAACAGGTTTCATGAACGAGGAGGCTCTTCCGCTTGAGGCGGCAGCTCCATCAACCGCATGCCTGGACCATGTGGGCCACAGGCCCCATTTACCATCAGTGACCGATCATTGCACACGGATCGTAACATCCCTTTTCCCAAAGAGAATCAGTTTATGGCTTTGATAAAATATATTGTGTGATAGCATGTGTGAAATAGCTGTAACTCGAGACAGTCACTCACCAGCCAAGCTTACAAATGTGCAGTCCTATTCAATTCACTACAATGAAGCGTCTTGGCGTCGTTTATGAAGCAAGGACAGGCATGGTGACGTACCACTCCTTCTTTCTTGGTTCCAGGGCACTACTGTGTTCCCGTTGTTGTCTTCGGTCTTGTATGATTGCAAGGAGTTCCCCAATCCAGAGAAGTTTGACCCAGGCCACTTTTTAGACGAAAATGGCGGGCTCAGGAAAACAGATCACTTCGTACCTTTCTCCCTTGGTAATACAAATAAATCCATTCAAACCATACACATGCTCATTTTGAACAACTTTTAGCTTCCCTGAATTCATGGCATAACTAAGTGATTCACTGATGATAGCCCAGGCAATCAAGTGAAACTGTTACAGTTCCGGATGTATTGTAACTCTTTGGAGCCATTTACATCCATATACCAGTAGGGTTAGGTAAGTAGCCCAGGGACTGCTTTGTTGTTGGGTGACTGAGTATAATGCCAGTTTTTATCTTTATTCATTTAAATATTTAAATATATTTCATTTCTATGCTATTACAGTTGTTCCAGTCCCCGCTCCGCGCCCCCCCGCCTTTGCCCCTCTCTGCTTGGTATTCCCATTCACTTTAGCAATCCCTGCCCCCTTAGTTCATGTCCATGGGTCATGCATGTAAATTCTTTGGCTGCTCCATTTCCTGTACTGTTCCTAACCTCCCCCTGCCTATTTTGTACCTACCAATTTGTGCTTCTCAATCCCTGCACCTTTTCCCCTGTCCTTCATCTTCCCTTTCCCCACCACCAATAACCCTCCAAATGATCTCCATATGTATGATTCTGTTTCTGTTCTGCTTGTTTCCTTAATTTCTTTTTACATTCACTTGTTGATAGTTGCGAATTTATTGCCATTTTAATGTTCATTGTTTTGATCTTCTTTTTCTTATATAATTCCCTTTAACATTTCATATAATAACTGGCTTGGTTATGATGAACTGCTTGAGTTTCACTTTATCTGGGAGGCACTTTATCTGTCCTTCCATTCTAAATGATAGCTTTTTTGGACAGAGCAATCTAGGTTGTAGGTCCTTGCTTTCTGTCACTCTGAATACTTCTTGACAATCCCTTCTAGCCTGCAAAGTTTCTTTTGAGAAATCAGTTGATAGTCTTGTGGGAACTCCTTTATAGGTAACTATCTGCTTTTCTCTCGCTGCTTTTAAGATTTTCTCTTTATCTTTATCTTTCAGCATTTTAATTATGATGTGTCTTGGTAATGCTAGTTTTTAAAGATACTAAAGTCAGTCAATCCAATCCAAATGTCCCATGTTACCAGATAACAAAGTTTGCAAACTCTTTTTCTGTTTATCTTTCCTTTGTAAAATTGACTTTTCCAAAACAAATGTACAACATTTTTTCCTTCTTTTAAAATTATCAACAATTATAAACTTTCTGATTCTTAGAGCCAGAAGCCATCAAAGAGACCTTGGCTACTTCATATTTTTTCTTACCCTCTGAAATATGAGCCCCACAAACCCTTGCCTGTTAACAAGAGCTGATTAGCTCCCAGTTACTATTTTCCATAAGGTCATAAAGACAGCTTAGGCCTGGTTAGCACACATTCTTTTTCCTTATCTTACTCAATCATTTAATAAGCACTTTCAAGAACAATAGTTAAGAGGGTTTGTTTCTAATTTCAATGATAAGTGTTCATCATAAAAGATGGAAAATGTAGAAAAGCAAAATAAAAAGAGAAATAAAAATCATCTGCAATTTCATCCTACAGAGATAATCACTGTTAATATTTTATTGTATAACTTCAAACAATTGTCTAAGTATACATAATAGATGTATATTTTTAAATGAAATTTGGTTCATTCTGGACAATCCTTTTTTTAAAAATGATTCTATTTATTTATTTTTAGAGAGGGAAGGGAGAGAGAAAGAGAGAGAGAGAAACATCAATGTGTGGTAGCTGGGGGCCATGGCCTGCAACCTAGGCATGTGCCCTGACTGGGAATCGAACCTGCAATGCCTGGCTTGCAGCCTGCACTTAATCCACTGAGCTACGCCAGCCAGGTGGACAATCCTATTTTTAAAAATTTTATTTATTTATTTATTTATTTTTAGAAAGAGGGGAAAGGAGGGAGAAAGAGAGGGAAAGAAACATTAGTGTGTGAGAGAAACATTGATCAGCTGCCTCTTGCACACCCCCAGGTGGGGACCTGGCCTGCAACCCAGGCATGTGCCCTGATGGGGAATCAAACTGGCAACCTTTTGGTCCATAGGCCAGCACTTAATCCACTGAGCCCCAACAGCCTGTATCATCTTTGAACATTTGTCTTCAAATTTTATTTTGTTGTGGTAAAAGACAGACTGTGGTATTAAATAATCTTTCACATAAACATATTTAGGTTGCATTGTATGGTAGATGCAGAAGAATTTATTTCATTAATTAATTATAGATAGATATACAGTTTGTATGTAACTCATCAATATCATAAATAACGATGCAAGTGACATCCTAATAGGTGAATCTCTCATTCCTACAGATAAATCCCCAGAAGGAGAATCACCCAATTAAGGAGTGAAAACTAGAGAGTTTAGATGTATACTGACAGATATCCCTGTGCGGACTGAGTGTCCTCCCACAGCTGATAAGCATTCCCTCTCTGAACAGCATTTTCAGTGTCTCTTAGGGGCATGTTGTTTCAGTTTTTTTTGCTGTTGTTTATTTGTTTTGGCACATTGTATTTGAATAGGAGCTACTGTATTTGAATTTGGAGTGAGCTAATGGAAATGTTTTCTCCTTCCAGGAAAACGGATCTGTATTGGGGAGGGCCTGGCCCGCATGGAGCTGTTCCTCTTCCTCACCACCATTCTGCAAAACTTTTCCCTGAAGCCCCTGGTGGAGCCCAAGGAACTACAGACCCAACCTGTTGTTACTGGGTTTCTCAACACTCCTCCACCTTTCAAACTGTGCTTTATTCCCAGATAAAAGAACTTTTCTCTTTTAACATCTTAAACCAACTGGCTGAGTAGCTCACTTTGTTAGAGACTTGTCTCCGTAGACAGGGTTGAGGGTTCAATCCCTGGGTTGGGCACATATGAGAATCAACCAATGAATGCATAAATAGGTGGAAGAAACTGATATTCCTCTTCTTCTCTTTCTCTTCCTTTCTCTAAAAATCAATCAATAAATTTGAATGAAGAAGTTCAAAGTAATTTCTTTTTCCTCTTACTCCTTGCACTCCACTCCCACCCCAATAGTCTTTCTCTTCATTTTAAGTATTTTGTAGGACAGAAACACTACTCACTATAACTTGATGGACATTTTGTAAATCTACAACTCCCTTGACAAAAAGGAGCCGGGTCCTGAAAACTCCAAGGAAACAAACAATGTATTTGCCCCCCATACAGTTCTTCCTAAGTCATGCTTTGTTGGGAACTGCCCTGCCTGGTATCAGGAGCTGTAACTGCCCGCCTCCAAGGCTAAGCCTGAGGGAATGACCTTAGACCATAAGCCACCAAGGAGACAAAGGCTTATCTCCCTGGCAGGAGCACCACTTCCGCTCCTTTTACTTCACCCTGCCTGGCTCCCAATGTTTAGTCGGTTTGCCAATGATGGGTAAGATTCCCCAAGGAGGGAATGACCTAAGACAGGCACGATCATGTGGGAGGCCCCCAAGAAAGGACTTTGGGGGCTACAGCAAAAGGGGGTGATGGACCCTCGCTCCTCAGCTTTGACATAGCCTGAGTCCTCATTGTCTGTGAGAAAATCTCCTAATCTCTTGGCTGCCTTACTTCCCTTGCTCCACCTAAGCCTGAAACAATGACAGAGGGAGTGCAGCCCTGTGCTGGAAAGGGAGGGTTCCCCGGGTGATCATGCCTAAGAAAGAATATGTAAAATCCTGTGAAACCTGCTTTGTTTAGAATGCTCTCAATTAACTGATAAGGGTCCAAGGAAGAAGTAAGTTTGTTCCTTAAAGTTTTTTACAGCTCTTTAGCCATCTGACCCTGACTCAAAATAGGCCCTCAGAGTTCCTTGCTATTTGATCCTTACTTCCCAGCAATGAGTAATGAGCTTTACCTGAATTCCTGTGTAAATGAACCCAATAAAAGCCATTGAGGAAAAGGCTCTTGGTCCTTCTTCTGTGCAAGATCGGCCACCCTTCCTCTGCAAGCAGATCATGTCTTGGTAGACTTATTCTCATCTGTGGTGGACGCGGGGCTCTGCGGACAAAGCTCCCCCATAGTGCTTCAGCAGAACAAGACCAGCCCACAGAGGGCCTTTGTCAGGGACAACCAGCAGTGTAGATGAATTTATATTCTTTATGTGGCTTTGGAGATATGCTGATTTTCTGTAGTTTTTCAAAAGAGAGAAACATAATAACCTATATGTATGATTTCTATTTCCAATTGAAAGCACCTAAGTGATTTGTGCCACATTCATAAAAGTAAATTTTTACGCCCACAATAGATTGTCTTTGTATGTTTAACTTTACATCACAAAAATGCCTTTCCTTGAGTTATGGGTTTTCTACAGTTAGGATATGATAAATAAGTGAAATTAAATGATAATCTCCTATCACAAATCTCTTTCTGTCCTACACCCTGGATTTGCAACAATTGATTTGCATGGATCTCAGAGAGCATTCTGGAGTAAGAAATCAAACCATGTCCACAGTTAGGATTCAGACACGCATAGTTGCATCTTATTCAGAAAGAGAGGAGAGGTGGGGATGGGGATTGAAGAGCAAGAGGAGTTGCAAGGGAAGAATGAGTGTTCCCAAGAAAATAGTGACCCAGAAAATAGCTGCAACTACCCCGGCAGTGGCCCAGCTGTTAGCAGCAGCTGTCACAGAAGGATGGCTCAGATACCAAGAGCCAGCCCAGCCTCCAGGGACAGTGGGAGGGAAAGGAGCTTTAAAAGTAGAGTTGAGCTTCTGGGTAAATATTCCAAATAACTGAATGCAGGGACTCAAAGAGATATTTCTACACCCATATACCTACAGCATTATTCATAAGAGCCAAAACATAGAAACAGCCCCAAAGTCTATTGATGGATGAACAGATAAACAAACTGTGACTATATTCAGGGGCCAGCATGAATAATGCCTCTTTTTTTTTTATTACAAAATCATAAAAATGTAAATCTGTAACATAATGATATCACACTGAAGCACAACATATGACATTTTAGGTCAAATGTTCAATTTAAAACTATAAATTATTACACCCATATTATCATCTTAGCAACCACACTCAAGCAGGCCTTACTTCTTCCAGACCCTAAAGTATATAACGCAATATTACTCAGCCTCAAAAAGAAAGGATATATATATATATTCTGACACATGCTACAATATGAATGAAACTTGAAAACACTGTATACTAGGTGAAAGAACCCAGACACAAAAGACTACATATTGCATGATTCCTTTATTTGAAATATTCAGAACAGGCAAATCCATTGAGACAGAACGTGGGTTAGTGGTTTCTTAGGGCTAGAAAGTGAATACAAATGAGCACACGTTTTTCTCCAGTCAGGGGCGGCGTGCTAAAAGTATTTGAAAATTAGATCACAGTGATGACTGCACACCACTGTATATTCTAAAAAAAATACTGAACTTTACCAGTAAGTGAATTTTATAGTATGTAAATTATCTTAATAAAGCTGTCCTTTCATTTTTATTTTTAATTATATTTTATTGATTATGCTATTACAGTTGTCCCATTTTTTCCCCTTTGCCCCCCTCCACCCAGCATCCTCTGTTCCCTCAGGCAATCCATACACTGTTGTCCATGTCCATTTGTCATGCATGTTAGTTCTTTGGCTACTCCATTTCCTCTATTGTACTTTACATCCCCATGGCTATTCTGTAACTACCTATTTGTGCTTCTTAATCCCCCCACCTTTTCACTCATTCCTCTACATCCCCCTTCCATCTGGCAACCATCAAAACACTCTCAGTATCTATGATTCTCTGTTCTTCTTCTTTGCTTAGTTTGTTTTTTAGACTCAATATTTGATAGATATGTGTTTATTGCCATTTTATTGTTCATAGTTTTGATCTTTTTCTTTTTCTTAAATAAGTCCCTTTAACATTTGTTAATAGTTTGGTGATGATGAACTCCTTTAGGTTGTTCTTGTCTGGGAAGCTCTGCATCTGCCCTTTGATTCTAAATGATAGCTTTGCTGGGTAGAGGAATCTTGGCTGTAGGTCCCTGCTTTTCATGACTTTGAATATTTCTTGCCAGTCTTTTCTAGCTTACGAAGTTTCTTTAGAGAAATCAGCTGACAGTCTTATGGGAACTCCTTTGTAGATAACTATCTGCTTTTCTCTTGCTGTTTTTAAGATTCTCTCTTATTTTTAACTTTTGGCATTTTAATTATGTGTCTTGGAGTGGGCTTCTTTGCATCCATATTGTTTGGGACTCTCTGTACTTCCTGGACTTGTATATCTATTTCTTTCACCAAATTAGGGAAGTTTTCTTTCATTATTTTTTCAAATAGATTTCTGATTTCTTGCTCTTTCTCTTCTCCTGCTGGTACCCCTAAGATGTGAATGTTGATACACTGTAAATTGTTCTAGAGGCTCCTTGCACTATCCCTGTTGTTTTGGATTCTTATTTCTTCTTGTTGGTTGGTTTTTGCTTCCTTATGTTCCAAATCCTTGTTTTGATTTTCAGCTTCATCCACTCTACTGTTGATTCCCTATAAATTGCTTTTTATTTCAATTAATGTATTCTTCCTTTATGCATGTATCTTTTTTATGCTGTTGCAGTCATCACTAAGTTCCTTGAGCATCCTTGTAACCAGTGTTTTGAACTCTGCATCTGGTAGATTACTTATCGCCATTTTGTTTAGCTCTTTTTTGGAGTTTTGATCTGTTCTCTCATTTGGGCCATGTTTCTTTGTCTCCTCATTTTGGTAGCCTCCCTGTGTTTGTTTCTATGTATTAGTTAGAGTTACTTTTACTCTCTGTCTTAGTCGGGTGGCCTAATGTAGTAGGTGTCCTGTAGGATTCAGTGGCACAGCTTCCTCTATCACCTAAGCTGATTACTTGAGGTACACCCTCTGTGTGGGCTGAGTACACCCTCCTTTTATAGTTGAGACTTTGTTGCTGTTGGCAGATCAATGGGAGGGATTTACCCAGGCCAGTCAGCTGCAAGGACTGGCTGTGAATACCACCAACCTCTGCCCTCTGTGGAGGGTCAGCAGTGCAGGGACAGGGTGGGGGGTTGCTCTGACATGGTCTGTAGCAGTCCACTGGGTGCATAGACTCCGGGGTTTCCTGGGTGGTGCAGGCCAAGGTCAGCTCTCACCTGTGTTCTTCCCTGGGCCATCCAGCATGAGCTACAAAACAATCTGCAGATGGCTGCTACTTGTGCTGGGCTTGGGGGATCACAGGTGAAGCCAAACTGTTATCCAAGGCTGGCTGCTTCTAGTGTTGGGCCTGGGGCCAATTGGCAAAAGGTATGGGATGTGGGGGCTCACTGAGGCTTGCTATGGCTTGTTTAAGAGGATTTAGGAAGATCTGAAGCATGAGCTGAGATAAGCCATTCATATGGAAAAGCTACTGTTACCAGCTTGGTTGGGCCCATAAGTTCAGCGGTGCAAAGCCTCAGGGAATCTCCGTGAGGGTCAAACAGTGTTAGCCAGGTTGATGGAATCAGATGTGGCACCTGCCTGTGGGCTCTGTGGCTCTGTGGGAGGAAGGCTCAGAAAAGAAATAATGGTCTCTGTCCATCTTTATGTCTGGGAGAACATTGACCCCCCAGTTCTCACTCTGATTCTGGACACTACTGTTCCTCCCTGTATGCCACTGGTGTCTTTCAAGGTGCTACTCCAGTGCTGGAGCTCAGAAGTAGTTAGTCTGAGTAAATCCATGTGTGGCCCATTTAAGAGACTGCTTGGGAATATAGTAGTTTCTTCCACAAGCTCAATCTCCACTGGTTTCTGCAGCCAGAAGTTATGGGGTCTTATTTTCCTGGCACTGGAACCCTGGGCTTGGGGGGATCT